GTCACTGGGCTGGATGAGGGGTGAGAGCAGCTTTTAGTGCTTTCATAAGAACACAAATAAAGTGCTCCTAATGCTGCAGGTGCCCCTCTAGGGAGGGGATTGACGTGTTCAGCTTGGCTTATTCTCAAGAGCCGCCTTTCTGAGAGCAGAATGTGCAGCTCCCACAGTGCTGGGATCTCCATGGACACAAAGGTGCCCAAGACTGTGACCTCCCTCAGAAGAAACAGGCCCTGCCACTTACCCTGTTGACATTCTGACATCACAAGAGAGCTGGCCATTTTATTAAGCACACAATACATGCTGCAATGTCTTTACATAGATGCCCTGTGTAATCCTTGCAGCAATGCTGGACAGAGGGATGAGATTTGATGCCCGTTCCGCCAGCGGGGAGACAGACACAGTGGAGTCCTGTGGATAACGAGGGATAGGGCCAGGCTGCAAGCCCAGGAAGCACAGCTTAGAAGCCCTGCCCTTAGCAGCCACACGGTGCTGTCCATGGGGCCTGTCTCAGTGCCCAGCACCAAAGGCGGAAATGAAGAAGAACCGGAGAACCATTCTCCAAAGCAGTTTTCATCTCCAAATTGTGAATGAGAACATTCAGACCTGAGAAATGAAGAAAGTGACTTTACATATTCCTATTTTAAAACATGCATTTAAACCTTGAATTGTGCCTGGCAGGCTGTGAGGTTCTCATTACCATTGGTGACCCAAAGACACTGGCCTGCAATCTTCCAGCAGATGATTCTATGGGTGAGAAACAATGAAGAAGTTAACAGAAAATAGTCAAATTGCAATAAATGCTAGCAATAAATAAATAAATAAAGAGTGTGGCAAAGGAATACAACGCAGAGGAGATCATTAGATAGAGTCCTTGGGCAGGGGGTTGTGTGTGAAGGCGCGAGAGGAATGCACTGGGCCAAAGTCCACCGCTCTGTTAATTACATCAGTGGTCCTCAGGCAGACTCACACACCAGAATCGCCGGGATGGGGCGGGGTGGGGGACTTGTTAAACAGAGACTGCGGGGCCCCACCCAGAATTTCTGACTCAGCAGGTGGGTGGGGCCTGAGAACGTTCATTTCTAAAAATGCTGCTGCTCCTGATCCAGGGACCCCACTTAGAACCGGTTGAATGGAGAAGTCTCCTTTCTCCATTCTCCCGTGTTCGGGGTTTCCTTCTTAAATGTCACAACAACAAAAGCAGAGGAATGGGACTTGAGATAATTCAGCCTCTTCCCAGCACAGCGCTCCCAGCCCATGTCTCCCGGTGGCCGGATCGGTGGCTTCCACAGACACAGGAGGACTCACAATGAATGACGGCCCCGGCAGAGCAGCGGCTTCCTGAGACTGATGATCTCATCAGTCCAGACATTAAGGGCTGCCCCAGCTTTCCAGGAACTGCTCTTTTCTGCACACATAAAAATAGCCATTTCTCATCAACTATTTAGTGGGGCTCGGATCGCATCAGAAACCATTAGCCACATGAAATGGGAGCTTTGCTGTTGGTTAGGGGAAGTGGATGGAAGGGAGGAATCAAATCCAAAGTCACATTTCCCTCGTTATATTTCAGGGTAGGGAGGCATTTTAGCCCTCGATCAGCCAGTGTGAGCTAAGCACCCAGCTGGGAGCTGGGAGGGTGAGCTGAGTGCAGGGCTGGCCTCTGCCCCCACGGCTGCAGGCGGGGCCTGAAGTGCACAGTACTCCGTTCCCCACCAGGCTGAGATGAGCCTATTCTCTGCCATCCCTTTGAAATTCTACATTGCAAGCAGGCGATTCTCTGCTCAATTTAGCCTGGCTGTGGTATCACCAGAACCCCAGCGAATTTCCCATTTCTACATCCTGTCCTACACAGTGTTCTAAAAGCACTCTAAAAAAAAAATGCCTGTTCTTCAGTGTTGAGTTTGCAAGGAGAGACCCCTAAAAGCTCTAGGACTTGCAGCATCGTGTGCTTGCAAATTTGGAAGAGTTTTTAGGAATTTAATGTGGACATATAAGTTGCACAAATAGGCTGTGTGTGTGTGTGGGTGTGTGTGTGTGCACGTGCACACCCCTCTTATGTGGCTTCTTTTGAAGGGATTTCCAAGCTTTCTTTCCAAATGTTAATGCTGCTGTGTTCACTTCTCCCAGGCCCCAGCATTCAGGTTTAAAACATGGATTTCCACCGTTTTATTCGTTTGTTTAGACAGGTCTTTTTGTTGCACACTTACACTACACATGAGCATCTCTTAAATATAAAAATTCAGCCCACCCCAATCTTGCCTTTTTTTTTCAGGCCCCCAGGAAAAAGTGCTGCTGAGATCATCCAGGACTCAAATTAGGTAAGGGGTAAAAGGACTCTTAGCTTTCCATCTAAAATATATCTAAATTTCTTTATTAGGTGATGATATTTGAGGCTTCTTCCAAGAACTCTGAACTAATCTTAGGTGACATCAGAGAGTGTGGACATTTTTGCTGAGACCTGAAATGTATGCAAACCCTTAAACCCACAGTGGTTCCTGCCACGTGGTACCTCCCTGCTCACTAAGCCTGCAGCAGCCTCCTCTGTAAAGCTGGTAGCTACTTTGTGGCAGTTCAAGGAGAGGACCCGCCCTCGTGCACCGTCACATCCTGATACATCCTGACACATTAATGTGTCACATTAATGACATATTAATGCCTCCTCCCAAGCAGCGGGGAAGCATGAGGGCCATGCCTCTCGATGACGGAGAAGAGTGAGTATATTCTTTAGGGTCCACCAGAGAAACAGAACCAGTGGGTGTATAAATGTAGAGAAAAAAAAGCTGGCTCTCACAAGTAGGGACGCTGACGTGTCCCCAAATTTGTTATTTTCAAGGTGAAAATCCCTTCAAACTTCCAATTTGAAGCCTGGCAAGCTTTAGACTCAGGAAAACTGACGTTCAATTTGAGTCTGAAGACAGGAGAAGAGCAATGTCTCAGCTCATGCAGTCAGGTGGACATTCCCTCTTACTCAGCCTTTTTGCTCTCTTTAGGACCTCTGTGAACTGGATGAGGTCTTCTCCTTGGGGACACCCCCTGATTTACTAAGTCCACCAATTCAAATGCCAGTCACATCTGGAAACACCCTACACACCCGCCCAGATAATGTTTGGCCAAATATCTGGGCACCCTGTGGCCCAGTCAAGTTGAAACATGAAATTAACCATTATACTAGGTATGCGAGAGGTTACGGGATGCCCCCAGATGCAATGCCCTGGACAGGCAGGTGGGATTCACTGGACATCTGAGGGGCAGCCAAACCTGCAGGTACTGCAGACTCTGCTAAGGGGACAGCTTCACCTGCCAAAGCTCCCGGCCCCAGACAGTTTCTGAGAGCTGCGGCCATAACACCATGGTCACCTCACCCCAGCACAGCCACATGCAGTCAAATTTTCCGGACCATTCCCCCGAGACTGCCCAGGAGCTTGTATGACCAGGCACTGCCTGTCATTTCCACCTGATGAGCTGTGTTTCCACCTGATGAGCTGTGGTTCAAGGCAGTGTTGGCTCATGGGGCTCAGCCACACCTTGGAGGTCAGAGATCAGCTCCACCAGCCACCTGGCTGCCTGCCATCCACATGCCAGGGTAGTTGTCTCTGTGTAACTCACATGCTCCGCAGCCACCTCTCCAAATGTGCCGGTCTTTGTGGAACACAAAACACTGATGGTCTGGATTGGGCTTGGGAGACGTCTCTGCAACTCTGCATAAATGTGTTCCAGCCTCTTAAAGGATCTGGAAGGTTTGAGGTTCAAAATCTTTTCTCCCTTGTTCTTTCTCAGCGCTAACTTCTCAGGGTCCTTCCCTACATTTCATCTGGACCCTGAGGAAGTCAGCATTCCAGGCCATGTAAGGCTTCAACCCCTTGTCCAGCTGTGGAGCAGAATGTACCCTGCAAAGGGGAAATTTGTAATCTGGAAGGTTCCGTGGCTTCACCAGGCTTGAGAAGCTTCATCTCCAGTGGAGATGGTTGAGAGAGGTGGTGAGGAGCCCCATTCAGGCTTTGTGTGCAGAGAAAGCCTCTCACTCCCCAGGACGGACAGTCGGACGGGTACACCATCTGCAGCAAGCCTGCAAGAAAGTGTCTGTCTGGGCCCTGCAGCGCACACTGGAGTCTGCACAGTGAGCCTGGGTACAGGTGGGCCGGGGGGCTGCGGTGCTGAGCCCAGCCTCCATTCCCCTCCTATAGCTGGGCTCCTGGAGGGGGCACTGTGCCCCCACACAGCAGTCACAGGATGCGTGTTGGTTTCCACCCCTGTTATCTGGAGGGTTTTGTATCTATTTTCTCTGTGGGTGTTTCTTCTCAGCATTAGAGACAAAAAAACAAAAGTAGCCATACCTCATGGCTGAAAAGAGACAGAGATTGTTAAGCCTGGCCCTGGGTTCCCCACCTGGGACTCCACAGCCTCCCCATCCCCAGTCCTCCTCCCCAACCCACCATCTCTTCCTCATTCTACCTTCCCCAACCCATATACCCCTTCCTCCCCACACCATATCCCTCTTCCTCCCCACCCCATATCCTCCCTCTTCCCCACCCCATATCCTCCCTCCTCCCCACCCCATAT